CCACCTCTTCCTGGACCCGATCCAGAAGTGAACATACGTCAGTAGGTTTGGATGCCCATCAATGAGAACATTTTATAGTAAGATCTATATCCTTATTCTAGGCAAATTAACTTGGAAATAACAACCACTGATGTTAGTCATGTTTAAACATAGGTAAGAGTGTGAAGCTCTATTCTGCAATAGTGTGTGCATTTTTGTTCATAATTAATTTCTGTTATGCCCAAGATGAAGTACTTTGGCCACATCATGAGAAAAAAGGAAAGCTTAGAGAAGACAATTATGCTGGGGGAAAAGGAAGGAAAAAGGAAGAGGGGCCGACCAAGGGCAAGATGGATGGATGGGATCCTTAAAGTGACTGGATTGACCTTGAAGGAGCTGGGGGTGGTGACAACCGATAGGGAGCTCTGGCGTGGGCTGGTCCATGAGGTCACGAAGAGTCGGAAACGACTGAACGAATGAACAACAACAACATGCCCAATATCACCCCACATCTCAAAGCTTTTGACAAGGTCCCACATGAAAAGGCTCTTGGAATCTTAGTAATGTGAAGGAGATCTTGATGTCTTAGTAGACCACAAGTTGAACATGAGCCAACAATGTGATGATGCTGCATCTTAAAAAGCCAATAGGGTCTTGGTCTGCATCAAAAGGAGTCTAGTGTCTAGATAGAGGGAAGTCATGGTGCTTTTCTATTCTGCTTTGGTCAGACCTCACCTGGAACAACACTGTTTCCAATTCTGGGCACCACAATTTATATTGATAAACTGGAACATGTTCAGAGGAGGGCAACTAAAATGATCAAAGGTCTGAAAGTTACACCCTTAAAGAGCTGGGTATGTTTAGCCTGGAGAAGAGAAGGTTGAGGCCTCTTTGGTACTGCCATTTAAAATCCATATTATCTGCTTTGAACTGGATTATATGGGAGTGTAGACTCATAATCCAGTTCAAAACAGATAATTTGGATTATCTGATTTGATAATCTGGATTCTATGGCAGTGTAGAAGGGGCCTGAGAGGGGACATGATAGCCATGTATTAATATGTGAAAGGATGCCATAAGGAAGAGGGAGCAGGCTTATGTTCTGCTGCTCCGGAAACTAGAACTCAGAGCAATGGGTTCAAATTACAGGAAAGGCGATTCCACCTGAATATTAGGAAAGACTTCCTGACTGCAAAAGCTGTTCAGCAGTGGAACTCTCTGCCTTGGAGTGTGGTGGAAGCTGCTTCCTTGGAGGCTTTTAAACAGAGGCTGGATGGCCATCTGCTTGGGGTGCTTTGATTGTGCTTTTCCTACAAGGCAGGGGCCCATGTGGTCTCTTGCAATGGGTACGATTCTACAATTCAGGATTAAATTGGCTTTTCTCTCTTTTGAGCAATCTGAATTTTAATAATAATAATAATAATAATAATAATAATAATAATAACAACTTTATGTGTACCCTTCTCCATCTCCAAACAATTTTCAAGGTTTATGGCTATTCAGTTTTGGAGGTATAGCGATTCCTTTTACCCTTGTGATGAGAGAAGTTTGGTAGCTTTTATATTTCTGTGATTCGGGAGTCAACGCTGGGTTGAATACTGGCAACCATAAGAATTGCCTCTTGTATCCAGTCATGTGTACTGATCTTTTGAGGAGTTTTAGTTCCATACATTTCACCCTTGGACCTCATTGGTGCTGCCATTATAATGCAGATTGAACTGCATTATATAGTTGTTGTAGACTCATGTAGTGTAGTTTAGCTGCATTGAACTGGATTATATAACCGTATAATGCAATGCAATCTGTATTAGCATAGCAGTTTAGATGGGGCCTTAGATGCATGACCACAAAAATACACTTTTGCTGACAAATACGCAAAGACTTCTCTATTTTGTACCTGGCTATCCCACTTGTCCTACTATGCACAGAGTGTATATTTATAGACTCTCTATCCATGCCTAGCAGACAACAGTGTGTAAATAATGGTAAAAGATGACGGGAAGCTGTATTTGACAAGGAGTGTGTATATATCGACAGACTCATACACGTACACGCTCCTTGTCAGGTACAGCTTTCTGCCATCCTTTAAGGTTATTTACACACCATTGTCTGCTAGGCATGGATAGTGAGCTTCTGCAGAATTAATAAAGAATGTTTTGGCATTTTAGTAATGGAACGTAAGCGTGTGTATTTGTTAAACAGCTGGCATCTGGCTTGCAGTGTATAATCACACTTAATTGAATCATTGCCATTTTACTTAATCACTAGTAACTGCATTATAAACCCCAGAGATGATTAGTGGCAAGAGTAACAACATCTGTCTTTTAAAGACGTGTGAAATATGTGTCACTTTGCTGACACTTGGCAAGGTGGCTTTGAGGAGTTTCCTTTCCCACTCCCACCCTCCACCCCACCCCCAGGCACATTCACCAAGCAAAAAGACATTGGGATTGAAATATTCAAACATTTATTTTATCCAAGAGCTGCTTCACTTTGTCTTAGTACAAAGCACTCTTCTGGCTCTTGTATGAATGGCAAAGAACGGCTCCCAAAATTTTTCCTAGAGGTTAAAATAGACAGTTGTATGTACTTTGGCATGCTTTCTTTGTAAAATAGACTGACATCAGCAGGCACTGAGTAGAAAGTTTGCAGGTTTCTTTAATTCTTATTTGGGTAAACCCCTCCAAGATTGAAAGGATAAGACCTATTTAGTCCAGCTTTCTGTTTACACAGTGACCAAGCAGTTAATTATTGGAATTCATCCATAATGATAATAGTAATAATAATAATTTTTTGTCAGGAGCGACTTGAGAAACTGCAAGTCGCTTCTGGTGTGTGATAATTGGCTGTCTGCAAGGACGTTGCCCAGGGGATGCCTGGATGTATGATCTTGTGGGAGGCTTTTCTCATGTCCCCACATGGGGAGCTGGAGCTGACATAGGAAGCTCAACCCACACTCTCCGGATTCGGACCTCCAACTTATCAGTCTTCGATCCTGATGGCACAAGGGTTTAACCATAGTGATTACATGTGTTGATTTGTATTGAAACCAATACTTTCTGTACACAGGTAATGACAGCAGTTCATTTTCTAATTTGTTCTTGCTTATTAAGCAAAGAAGTGAAAGATTGAAAACTCTCTGTCTCTTGTGTTAATGTTTTGTTGTTAATTAGCAAGGATATGCAGAAAAACTGGCTCCCAAGATCCCTCCTGAGCTTTGTTATCAAATATGATTTTTAGAGCTTGTCTAGTCTTTAGAATCCTAACAGTTTAAGAATCATCAAGAAGGTTTTTTTTACATTGCAAACATTTTAAGTAAGCTTTTGTTTATCCTCCATTATAATATTGTAAAGTCATCTTTGAATTATTAACCACAGGCTGAGCATCCCTCATCCAGAATTCCAAAATCATCCATATGAATGTATTTTTATGAGTTTTCTGGGCTGTATGGCCATGTTCCAGAAGAATTCTCTCCTGACGTTTCGCCTACACCTATGGCAGGCATGCTCAGAGGTTGTGAGGTCTCACAATCTATGAGGATGCCTGCCATAGATGCAGACAAAACGTCAGGAGACAATGCTTCTGGAACATGGCCATACAGCCCAGAAAACACAACAACCTAGTGATTTTGGCCATGAAAGCCTTAGACAATACATCATCCATATGAATGTCTGAGATAGTGACTCTTTTGCCTTATGGTTCAATGCTCACAAACTTTGTTTCATGTGAAAAATTATTTTTAAAATTACCTTCAAGCTATGTATGTGAGATGTGTATAAAACATACATTAATTTTGTATTTGGATGTGGGTTCCATCTCCAAGATATCAGATTATGAATGTTTTTGCAAAGGATACTTAACTTGTACTTTGTCCCAATTAGGTATAGAGTGAAGAAGAGGGGTGGAATGCTGCTTGTAGCTCTGCCCCCGACCCAAAAAGAGTCCCATCCGGGACTCTTTTCTTTCAGCCTCTTCCGTGGGGGAGGAGGCAAAACCCTTCTCACCCCCAGGTGCGTGGGGAGGGAAGTTAATTGCCACCCAATCCCCAAAATAAAGAGGCAACACAACATAAGTGGGTTAACTATGGGCAACCTTTATTAATGTTACCTAATTAAACGTTATAACTTGCAGGTAATTCTAAGGTATGGTTTGTTTGTTTTTTGTCGTGTCATGAGCGACTTGAGAAACTGCAGGTTGCTTCTGGTGTGAGAGAATTGGCTGTCTACAAAGACATTGCCCAGGGGACGCCCAGATGTTTTGATGTTTTATCATCGTTGTGGGAGGCTTCTCTCATGTCCCCACATGAGGAGCTGGAGCTGATAGACGGAGCTCATCCGCGCTCTCCCCAGATTCGAACCTGTGACCTGTCGGTCTTCAGTCCTTCTGGCACAGGGGTTTAACCCACTGTGCCACCAAGGCTCCTTAAAGTATGGGTAAAGCTGAGGTAGTGACCATTTCGACGTACCCCTTGGCAACTTTGGGCAAAAATCTAGTGTCCCCGATTGCAAGAACCCTGAGCAACCACTAAGTGAAACGTCTGCTTGGCTCCTGTCCACCACCAAGCCATCTGGCGCAGCTTGAGTGTTCCTCTGGAGGTGTAGCAGAAACTTCATGTTGACCTACTCCGAGAAATGAACCCCATCAATTTGATAACATTCTGGGTTGTTATGTGTCATGCATGATCCCATACCTTCTGTTAATATCTTCCGCATGGCCCAGTTAACTCTTTTCCATGCACCATCTAGCTTTTTTGCGTTGCCTCCACCCTGCCATGTCAGTTACATATTTGCGAAGAAGAAAGAAGGGCAACAAGAGTGGAATGCAGGAGAATAAAGCTATCTGAACCTAATTGCCACCCCCAACTGAGTTAAGCCTAGCATGGCAATATCATAGATACTGACAGTAGGAGTACTTGCTTCTTTTTAAACCTACAAAGACTAAAAATTTTGGAAACAGGGCTACACAATACGCTGGGATTGGAAAGAATCCTTAAATGAAGGATCTTTGTTTTGTTTTCACAG